AATGAAATGATAATGTATTATATCTGTTATAGCCCAAAGCCGCCAATCAGAAGCAGCGAATTATCGACCGGATTAACGACGCATAAAACCCGTGAGAGCAGTCTAGAGTCCTTATTGGCCCTGCTTTGTGCCTAACCCAGCCAGTTAAGTCCAGTACACCAATCTCAGCCTCTGCAATATGAATCATTTATTTCAAACATACTGAATTTATATACTAACCAGACCGACCATATCGTACCAATAAAAATAGGAAACAACATTTGTACAAGATTTAGCCAAAAGTGGCTGTGAGTATGGAAGGTAGTAATTGATAGACCGGGTATAATTCAAGAATGATAAATCATATAATAATAGTACATAGGTCAAAATAAAGCTTACAATGAGAGGAATATGAATATGAATAGTTTAGCTACGTAACAGTCATACAATAAGAATGTATGTATAGTATTAGTCTAGAAATGGATCTCCAAAGCTACCATTTATTATGTTTATCGGAACAATATAATACCATACTATACCATTATACATATTTCTTACGTGCATTCACTCTAGCATATGTCAATAATATCCATAATGATGTTGGTAATAAATCAAATAAATAAGCTTTATATTCATGTAATATATAACCAGTAGTTTGTTGTACTACACCATACATATTTAATGCACTATGAACAAATAATTTAGCCGATGGATTAAAATATGATGGTTTTTCATGTTTAGTCATTGTGGTATAGATAGTTAATGGACATAATATTTGTATAATCACATTTTTTCGATATGTCTCAGCAGATAAACATTTACAAAATTGTATGATAAACGCTTTTGTTGAAGAATATACAGTTAAATATGGAGTTGTTCTAAGTGCTGAATAAGATGCAAGGTTTATAATCCCAGGATTAGGTCCTTTCTGTGTTAACATTTTTGGTAGAATGATACTTGTCATCATTACTGTAGACAAAATGTTACAATGAATGATATTTCTGATTGATTCTTCATTTGGTGAATCCATTTCTCCAGTAAATAACTCTAATGGTAATCCCATACCAACATTATTCACTAAACAAGCAATTGTAGATAATTTATCAATAGCAGGTCTTATTATATCATATGTATCATTCTAAATATATATATAAAACGAAGAAGAATTTGAAATGAATAAGATTAGGTTATTGACCATGTGAATGATTATGTAATATAACGCAATTAAAAATGTACTAAAGTTACTTACTTACTCCTCGTGGAGGAACATAGTCCACACCACCAGAATAATGCGCTTTGATGATTCTAGATTCGTGAGATTCCCATTCTACAAGTCCAATATAGTGCTTCTTTGAATAGTATTAGAGCTGATACCTGAGTGTATGGAGTATTATCCTCTTCGTGCTTGGAGTATAGTAGCATCTCTTCCGTATCTAACCTTTGCTGTTCAGCCTCGATCCAATGGGTTTCGTTGATTCTTAGTACTGCCAATTTATATCTTCTCATTTCTGTTTCTATTTGACTGATTCACCCACATTACTCGGACCTTCCATGTCAATAAATATTTTGCTCACTTGTTAATATGAGGATACATCGGTCATGGTGGGTGAACACCAAAAGACAACAGCAATTCAATTACACTGTCAACTATCATTCACACCAGTGTATTGTGAATCTGTTATTAGTCTCATACTTTATACAACTTCAAAGTAGTTTCTCAGTGTAGTTCGTTTTTTGGTCTTACTCTTCTCTTTTCGCCACGAGGATTCCATGTCAAGTCTTGCCTTGTGACGAATTTAGGTGCTATCCTGAATGTATGTCCTATACATTTCCAATGATTCTTCCTCCACTGGTTTGTTCTCTCCCACAGTAGGTTGTTGCTGATAGTGTAGTGTCTGACCAACGGATCCGAAGTATTCTGCGTAGACAACTGTGAATAAACACTTGTATGTTGTGGATGATGGTTTTCGTAAATCGCCAAGTTTCCGCCACATACAGTAGAACCGTCTTGAAATATGCAATGAAAATTCTGATTTTGGTGTTGGTTGACAGTTGTTTTGAGTTCCAGGTAATCTTCAGTTGTAAATATGCTGGTCTTGCTTTGCCGATCCGTGCCTTCACATCTGCATCAGATCCACCGTGTTCATCAATGATACTCCCAAGATATGTAGAGGTTTATACATCCTTCAAAGCATTATATCGGAGAATCTCGCTTCTACCTTTGTGTATGTTGAGATCTAGTGCTGCTGAGGCTGCTGCTACATTGGTCGTCTTCTCCTACATTTGTTGTTGCGTGTGCCATAGAAGAGTCAGATCATCTGCAAAGTCTAGATCGTCCAGCTGCATCCTAGTTGTTCACTGTATCCCGTGCTTAACCCAGAGGTTGACGTCTTTATAATATAGTCGATCACCAGGAGAAAGAGAAAGGGTGAGAGTAATCAACCTTGCCTGACATCGGTCTTCACCTCGAACGAGTTTGTCAACTGTCCTCCATGCGAGATTTTGCAGTTTAATCCATCGTAGGAATTCCGTATGATATTGACTATCTTCTGAAGCACGCCACAGTATCGAACAAGCTTCTATAATGTTGTCAAAATTATCATATACTACAAAATATCTATTCACAAACTAATCTTGTATTATCATCATTGTAGACACGCCAACTGCCTTTCTATCTTTATCTCAATCTATGTCAGCCGCAATTCTCTTTCTCTTTTCTTCACACTTCTCAAAATTAAACAGAAACTTCAGTGACTAATCACCGTCCCACTTTATTGATTAGAGAAAATAGAAAACCATTGATACTGAAAATAAAGCATCTCACAATCACTCATGCGTTCATTAGGATTACAATACTGAATGGATTCTGAGAGAATGTAGTTTGTCTTATCTTATTTCATACAATTTGACAAACATACATAATGAATGACACAATTTCAAGTATCAGAATAATCTCACAATAATAATTAAGATGTTTACAAAATACAATCACATGGAAACAAAATGTTCCCTTGACAACTAAAAAAACAATTGAGTATGAAATCGAAAACATACATTGTAGACATTTTATAGAATAAGAAGTATTATAACAATGTCAGTATAAGATCTTTCGTATATTAGATTAGCAAACAACGTTAAGGTTTAAACATCTATATAGCTTAATTCTCTTTAGTGCACAGGTTACTAATCTATATTTCATTTTAATGCCAATGGTGGATGTGTTGCTCAATTTCATGGATTAGTTGAAGTTAGGCATTAACACGGTTGGATCCGGGCTCAGTGATTTGGAGGTTAAGCGTTCGTGCCTGAGAATGATAGGTCCTGGGCTCGAATCTTCGCGAGGCGAGTTTGTGGATGCCTACTGATAAGGAGTTCCACAATAGGACGAAATTACCGTCTAGTGATTCCAGGTTTTCTTTGGTGGTCTAACTTCAATTTTCCAGTTACTATTAAAGGAATCAATTTAATTTCAGCTGAAGCTTCTTTCTTTTCAATTGATGAATGAGCAATAAATTGATTACACTATAGACTTTGTTTATTATAAGTGAAACAGATAGGAATTTTCCCATAACTATAACCATCTTATGGAAGTCATCAATCTAGATCTAGACAGTCACAAGATACAAAATTACTGTATACTAATATTATCCTGGAGGAAAAAACAATACAGTCGGATATTTCAGTTTTTTATATTTACTATATGGAACTTTGTTCCCTGAGAGTTCCATATCAATGGATCAGTATGGGGTTGTGGAGATTATTATGTTTTTGACTGAGATCATAAACTGATTGATGTTAGATCATCATTGAAAATCTGTAAGCACCGGTCTCTCACGCGAAACCGAACGCCCTGAGTTCGAATCGTGCGTGACGGGATCGTGAATGCACACCGTTGAAAAGCCCTGAAATACGACGAAACGGCCATCCAGTGCCTCCAGGTTTTCAGTGGTGATGTAACATCAATCGGTTCATGATCTTATTCAATGGATCAGTTGTTATTTTCTCTCAAATAATTTTCTCGACATATAAGACTTGGCTTGAGTTAAACATATCAAAATATTAAGGCAATAGGAAATCGACGATTTAATCTAAGAACTCAACGTAAGCCAAAATGAATATGGATACAGTATAATATGAATCCATCCGATATCTTAGTTTCTCATTAACTCTATACAACCAACCACATGTTAAAAGTTTACACAGAAATAAGATATAGTGTAAAACAATTGACATAAATGAATGAAATGTATTGAAATGGCAAAGATTTTCAATAATCACCATATATGGATTTATATGTAAGAATAAGTCGGAGGTCATTTGGTGTTAGAAACAACAACAAAATAATCATGAAGGGTGGGTGATGTAGTAACTGAGTCAAGTTCAGAGACAGATAACATAAATTTTGTGATAATTTTAGAAGTAATGTAGGGTTTGCATAATATTGCTGGAATTAAAAAGAACAGGTAAGATGGATTAGTTGGGGTTTGCGTGACTATCGTGACTAATGATTGGAGACTCTTGGTGATATAGCTCAGAGTGGAAATGTATGACTGAAGGAGGCATACACAATTATGCATAAAATAAAAAATCAGTAATGAAGAACATTTATATGTACGTGGCAAAGCATATACATTGGAATAATCGAGAGAAAAATACATGTTTGCATTTCTGAACATGTACCAAAGAAACTGAGAGTGTGTGTGCGTGTGTCTGTGTGTGGGGAGGGGGTAAGGGCTCTTAATAAAACAATAGCTTGGCATTTATTTAACACTGAGCATACCATTGATTTTCCTCAAAATTTTAAAATTAGTAGACAAAGAAATATTGCTTCTATTTCGATTGCTGAAACACATGAGATATGTGTTATGTTGCTCTTCCGTTGTCCAATTCTTATTTTATGTACATTTAAACCAGCACCATACCCCTTTCACCTATACATTTCCATTTACTCAACTCTCTTAAATTATATGAACTTCTCAAATCTTGTTTAATTATTATGCAACCTACCTTACCATTCAGTCAGTCAGCTACAACGTAGGATCAGGAGCATATATGTATCGGTTCAAGTTGACATACCACATTAGCACAAGATGAACACCAAATTCATAGAAGTAGCTACTCTAAGGGTGGTAATATATAAAAGAAGGATTGTGCCTAAGGGTTATAGTACAGGAAGAAACAATTAGTTGGTAGAAAGAAAGATTTTAATCTCATAGTTCAAGGGAAGACGAAGAGTGTATACACCTACACCATTGTGATAGATTTTGAGTCATGTCACCTAGAGTCTCAAATCATTAGTCAAGATAGTCACGCGGACTCTAACTAACTCATCTTACCAGTTCTTATTAATTCCAGCAATATTATGCAACCCCTTCATTACTTCTAAAATTATCACACAATTTATATTATCTATCTCTGAACTTGATTGAGTTATTACATCACTCACCTCTCATGATTTTGTTGTTGCTTCTAACACCAAATGACCTCCGATTTGTTCTTTCACTCACACACACATACATATATATAGTGATTATTCATAACGTTTGTCATTTCAATACATTTTATTCACTTAAGTCAATTGCTTCACGCTAAGTCTTACCTCAATGTAAAATTTAACAACAATTTGGTTGTAAGTAGCTAATGAGAAACTACGGTATAGAATGGATGTATATCATTGCATTTAACTAATTGGAAAGAAATTCGTAAAAGCTTCGAAATGTTCATTTTTAGGTTTTACTGTTTCTCAGGAAAGTTCAAAAACAAAATTCATCTTAGTCAAACTTCTTCGATTTTCTACTGATTGGAGTGAACGTACGTTCGATTATTTTTACCCACAATGATGTTGGCAACAAATTGTATATAAATGCTTTTAACTCATGTGGAAAATAACCAGTGGTTTGTTGTTCAACACCAAACATATCCAATGCACTTTTAGCATAAACTTTAGCAGATGGTGTGAAATATGTGGGTTCTCTTAAATCGGTCATATTTGTAGATACAAATAATGGATACATCGTTTGTATAATCACATTCTTTCTATACTTTTCTGCAGCCAGACATCTAGAGAATTGAATAATGAATGCTTTGGTTGAAGGATAAATTGTCAAGTAGGGTGTCACTTTTAAAGCTGTATAAGATGAAATGTTTATGATACCAGGATTAGGTTCTTTCTGTGTTAACATTTTCGGCAGAATGATATTTGTCATTATCAGTGTAGATAAAATGTTACAATGAATGATATTTTTGATTGATTCTTCATTCGGTGAATCAACTTCTCCGGCAAACAACTCAAACGCTAACAACATACCAACATTGTTAACTAAACAAGCAATTGTGGACAGTTGGTCAACAGCAGGTCTTATTATTTCATAAACATCATTCTAAACAAAAGAGAACACAAGATTGGTGGAAGTTGATCATTCGAATGTTTCCCAAGTGTTTAAGTGTTTGAATATTCGATCAAATTTCAAGAATGTCAATTTATTCTGATGCGTTTGCATTGTGAATTGTAGATGAATCTGAGACAAGTTCCCTACCTTGTTTGTCAATGGCCAACGCGATATACACTGAGGGTGTGAGATCAAATATCCTGATATCTGTTCAACTAGTATACCATATATTGATAATAAACGTCTGCCTTTTTCCGCCTCCAATATTCACGACCGAAATCCAATCAATGTTTGACAGTTTGGGTGCATCGTGTGTGGATGCTGCTTTAGTATTAACCCTCTAATACAAGTTTCAGAATACTCTTGAAAGGAGATTGGTCAAATGAATTCCTGAATATCAGCAACGAAGTGAATCCAATTACCTACGATCAAACAACGCGACGTTTGAACAGATCAGAAATTGTTCAAATTCTATATTTCGCTCCATACAATGATTTATCATTTACAGTGACATGTACCGAATTCAAATTTCACAGTAAACATCAAAACGTGGATCCCGGAGCATTCCGTTGACGTATTATTGAATACGACAAAGTATTTATTTCGGACTTCGCTGACAATTTACAAGCAAATACACTATTAATTTGTATACTTATACACAAATATTTTCCTTATGAAACACGGTTTTAACTTTAATTGTACACCAGTAAACTGAAAATCAACAGAACAAGAGTATTGTTCGCAAACAGTTATTTCACACTCGCATCTGTTCACTGAATGAATGACATTGTATGTCACGGCATTTCTACATTAAAATGCATGTTATCATTAATGATCATTTTGACATGACCACATGACTCAAGTGTCAGTAATAACTCGACTAACAATCTATCAATTTATGAACAAGGCAATTAGTGATACACAACTCATGTCAATCTATTCAAACACTACCGATTGACAAATCGAACTGATTACTTAATTCAATGACAATGATTTCAAAATAATATGATTAACAGATTCATTGAGAATGGATATTACTTTAGTAAAATCTGCAACAACAATTCGTGTTTGAACATTGTAGGTATTTGCGATTTGATTAGCAACGACTGATAGTTGTTCTTCATCATTACTGATAAGCATGATATTGAGACCTTCTGTGGCCAATTCTTCTGCATACGCTTCACCAATACCTGACGATGCACCAGTGACAACTGCCCATTCACCAGCCTGACGAAGTGTTTTCCGTTTAGAAAAGCACCATACTCCAACAGTGTATTTCAAATAGATCAACAATAACTGTGAAAGTTTGAAACTTATCCAAGAAACAATGAGTGCAGTAAGCAAGAGTAACCGATTCTCTGTGATAAGTTCCACGAAAGTCAAAGTGCTCTAGATCACGAAAACATCAGATAACTAGGTGAAATACTGAGATAAACAAAACATTCAAATAAATTATGAGAATGTAATTTGTATACGAATATTAATTGTATTCGACTGTGGATATCGGTTGCAACGCAAATGCAGTATTCATTGTTTACTGGCTATCGGATCGATCAGACTTCTCTGACACTTGCCTATTGACTATTCTTGTAAGACTTAACTCAATAGAATAGGTTGAGTATAGTTGACAAGTATGACGGTTTTCGAATAATTTCTGTCATCTGTTATCTATCTACGTTGGTAAACGTTTGTTTGAACTTTTGAGTACTCGAGATATTCTTAATCACCACCCCTGGAAGCACTGGAAAACCGTTTGGTTGTGAGTCTATATTAATATCAATAATTCAAATTTGTATAAACAGTGTTGAAATAGTTGATAATGAATTGAATAATCAACAATGATTCACGTACCATTTTCTTCTGGATAATATTTATGTGTATATGATGTTGTCAATCATGTTATCACTTAAATACTCAATACAGAAAAACAGACATAAATTATGAAAAGTCACATTTGATAACTTCAACAATGGATCAATAAGAAATGTCATTACATTTGTTTATCAGTACGTGTTTTATGTTCCATTAATTCCATATGATACATTGTAAATTATCATGTGTACTGCTCAATATGTTCCAGAGTTAATCGTTTAATACAGAATTCATAGTCATTGGTTAAATTCAATATCATATGATTCAAAAGAAAATCAATATTTGAATTATTGCCACTGTATGAGTCCTTGTGTGTGTGTATGCATCATGAACTTATTTCGATTTATTTTACAAATCAATTATTTTCAGGACTTAGGCAGTAACCATTGGATTTGAACGATCTTTACGTAACCTCTCTAAATAGGATAGATTGCCTTTGGTAATTCTCCTACATCCTTTATCAACTTACTTCTAACCTCCGTATTTTGGGGTTATTTTCAGACTCGTAAGAAAAATATGATAGCTTTCCACAAAGTTTGAGAACATTTCCCAGAAAAAAGTCAATGTGTCATAAGATTCTGGAAAAATATTGAGGATTTTCCCTAGACCTAGAGAAGTTTTGGGATTTTAATGTTACTTCTCCAGAATGTCACCAAAGCTTCATATAGCGGTGCTTTCTTTACTCCGGAAGGAAGTCGATTAAACTCGATGTATGCCTATTATCATTAGTTCACGGCATGAAGAGTTTACCTCTACTTATAGATAGGCTTCGGGTAGATCTAGTTTTTCAAAGCAGTTTTCACCACTTAAGATCGTAAGAAGATCATCTGCAGTGGGCAAAATATAATGATATTGTTCTAGCACAGCATTTAATCCAGTTAAGGAGTCTGCACAGATCCATAGTGTACCATTTAGTTTCTTTATGACCACTAGGAAAGTTGCTGAAGATGAGAATGAAACTGATGATAGAACACCATACCTGAAAGATTTCTTCTGATTGTACCTTTCCGTTCCCTCATTTCATACTACCTTACACCAATCTCCTCGTTATTGTTCTCTTTTTTGCGCTCCTTAGCTTTTTTTCTATCTCTCTTCGAATTCTCATTGTTTTGTGTGGCGCATATATATTGGCGCTCTCTTGTACCAATATTCATGTGTTCAAATAAATAAATAATACACCATGTTTTTCTAGACGATGGAGTTCTTCATGTAAACCTGGTAATGATGCATATGGAACTGGTCTTTGCGGCGGAAACACTGGATTAACATTTTCTTCAAGTAGAGATATACATTCGTTGCTGTGAAATGCTCTAAACCTTCTGCAAAGTGTTTGTGAGATACCACTGCTCCTTATCTTTACATACAATTCTATTACCTACATTTCGCAATGAGATATCTGGAATCTTGAATCCGTAAAAAACGAGTCTAAACCGAATAAATCTAGGTTATCGTCTGATATGTAACATATTACACTTATAGTCACATCTTTAAGTGTTACTGAGCATGACAGAACCCCAATAAGCTTCATTTTATCACCTGTTGCGCTCACTACCGACTGGCTTGTAGGCTGCAGACTGAGCTTTCTTCTTTTGGCCTACGTTCTTCTGGAGAGGATGGTCGTGCCTTAAGCGTTATCCAATTCTAATTTTATCAAATAGCCATTTGTCAGAACTTCAGTAAACTTACTAACCGGTCTTTCATGTACTTCATTTACCGAAGATACAGTAAATGATTTAAATGGCTTTATATTTGATCTGTACCTTCTTCGGAAATTTCACTCCCGGTGGTTATTTCGCTGCTTGCAATAAGTCTCTCTATGTCCAACAGTGTAAGATTACCTTCAGTAATGGTGTTTAAACGGACGGAACCTTGCAAAATACCAACCACCACAATGCCAACATCTGGACGGAGGAACTTCAGACTTTTATTTCGGTGATTTTTTGTGCAGTGATGTTGAGGCCTTGGAACCAGGACGCACTTTATTTTGGATTACTTGAACGTCGAATCTGTCTTGACCAACGAACTGAACTAGTTTAATGTCGTTTTCGTGGTTCGTTAGTCACTGATATTCTTCAGCAACTTTCCAGTGTTAAAGCTGGCTCCTGATTAAGACAATATAAGGAGGGAGGGTGGCGTTACTGACCAGTAAACATGATGGTGGGGAGATAACTTCAATCCACCCATGTTTGTAGGGCAGAACATTTTGTTTAATTACGGCTCCTTATGGTCTACTGGCATGTTACGAACTTAAGGTATTAATGCTGATTTATCATGCAAAATACCTCATTAAATCGTGTTATGAACGTTGAATTGGTTTCACTTCCTACCTAGTAATCCTATTACAAGCAAACTAGACAATTCGATAATATACGAAGTCTACTCAAGACCCTATGATACCTAAAACTTAAAATAATAAACTAAAAATTAAGAAAATAATAATGCAAAAAAAGGTGAAAAGAGCTCCAACAGCATCGATAAAAAAGGAAGACAGTCAATTGTATATCACAATAACTGTTTTAGCACTATATTCTATGACCACACATAATCTCATACTTTCAGCTCCTTTCTGAATCCCCTCCATTTGTCAGTTTGTGGAGATAGGCCTGACAACCTTATTTTGTAAGTGGTTTTCAATGTTATTTGTATTTATTTTGTCAATTTCTCACCGCATGTATATTTATCACTAAATGATTGTACCTGTTGTTTTAGTAAATGACCTTGAACACTTTTTCCGTTGTGATACTAACATAGCGTGACACACTTTTGGTTGTTCGCAAATACACTGCTACACACACACGCTCCTTGTTCTATTCTCACGTGTTATCGAGATAATCGCATTCTAAATCGAGTATTATCCACGTTTTAGACTGCTGTGCCATTTCTATTACATACTACGTCAAAGGAGTCATATTTACCTCATTGGAGTTATTACTCATAAATAATTGTGGATTTTTGGGACCAAAACTCAACAGAATACGCAACAACTAGCTGATTTAAGTAACGTCCCTGAACTTTGATTTTGTGTTACTAATTTATAAATTGTTATTGTTACATTAACTTTTGGACGTAATAACTTTATCGCTAAGTTTGGTTATTATACTTTTGGTCCACCACAATTATTTTGGTGGCGGAGGTGGGATTCGAACCCACGCCCTATTACGGAAGGCTGCGTGTTTGAATCACGTCGGGCTCACCAAATAATTGTGGTGGACCAAAAGTATAATAACCAAACTTAGCGATAAAGTTATTACGTCCAAAAGTTAATGTAACAATAACAATTTATAAATTAGTAACACAAAATCAAAGTTCAGGGACGTTACTTAAATCAGCTAGTTGTTGCGTATTCTGTTGAGTTTTGGTCCCAAAAATCCACAATTATTTATGAGTAATAACTCCAATGAGGTAAATATGACTCCTTTGACGTAGTATGTAATAGAAATGGCACAGCAGTCTAAAACGTGGATAATACTCGATTTAGAATGCGATTATCTCGATAACACGTGAGAATAGAACAAGGAGCGTGTGTGTGTAGCAGTGTATTTGCGAACAACCAAAAGTGTGTCACGCTATGTTAGTATCACAACGGAAAAAGTGTTCAAGGTCATTTACTAAAACAACAGGTACAATCATTTAGTGATAAATATACATGCGGTGAGAAATTGACAAAATAAATACAAATAACATTGAAAACCACTTACAAAATAAGGTTGTCAGGCCTATCTCCACAAGTTGTATGTCCACTTATACCTTGTTTACACTTATTTTCTTTAACCTATTAAAATGCTCTTGCTTAACAAATACCTCAATAAAAGAAAATTAGACTGAGTTATCATACCTTAAACATTCCTTCATGAATATTGGCTACTCTGCCTCTCGTCTTTTCTTTTACCTGCTTCCTCTTTCAGCTCCCTTGAGACATGAAACGGGTGAATTCATCCTGCACCATCCTTAAAGCCTTGGATATTCCAAAAGGACGTAAGGTTGCGATTTCTAGAAGCTCATATCTACAATGGACCTATCCTTGACCATCAGTCGCACATTCGCAACGCGACTTTCATGGAGCGCGCCAACAGTGATACTGACTAAAACCATATGAATGTAGATATCTACATTCATATCTTTTAAATTATCAACCCAGCTGAGTAATTTACTACAGTGGATATTCTATCATTTGTAAAACTTTGATCTTGCCTGTAAACTGGCATGCCTCATGTAACAAACTGTTCAAATGGTTCAAATGGTTCAAATGGTTGTGGACGGAATAGAAGAAGCTTTCGCTTAACAGGCTTCCGTGTCTAGTAGCAGGGGATCACCAAATCCTCCAGGCAGGAACCTAGGTATGTTAACAATAAAAGAGGAAAAGAAATTGGTTAATCATAGTGTGATGCTGTCCTTGTTCCTTAAGAATAGGTCAAGTTGCCTCTTGAAGGACACCTCAGAAGTCGCTTGGACTAGCTCGGCTGGCAACGAATTCCAGATTTTGACAACTCTTAAGGAGTAGAATTTGTGTCTACATTCCGTCTTGCTATGTTGTGTTTCCAGTTTCTGGGTGTTACCCCTTAGGTTATTATTCGAACTAAGCTTAAGTCGGTGTTTAAGAGGATGCCCAGAAGTGTTAAGAATACTATAAGCCATTAATAAATCACCTCTAAGACGCCTATACTCTAATGGGTAAAGGTATAATGAATGAAGGCGTTCTTCGTAAGGTTTAGATTTGAGTCCTCGAACTGATTTCGTGGCTCGACGTTGGATACGCTCCAAGGTGACCTTGTCCTTTTGGAGTGAGGGAGGGAGTACTATGTTTCCGTACTCTAAATGGGGACGGATGAAACTATTGAAGATTGTATGGAAAGTTCTTCCGTCAAACTGGCCAAAAATGCGCTTCAATGTTACCAGTGCAAGGTTTGCTCGGAAGGCATTTTTGTCACAGTTAGCGTAAGACTTTAAATCATGGGGCACCAGGACTCCTAAATCTTTTTCGACTTGGGATATTACTAGAGAGGAGTTTCCT